ATCATAAGAATCTTGAATACTTCATGTCAGCCCTAGTCTTAAACCATTGCCAAGCGTGTTGAAATATATCTTTATCATAATTTGATTTTTATATTATATATCGACTCAAGAATCAACACAGGTTATGAAATACATTATCAAGAAGTTCCTACCTTGAACCAAAAGAAGGCGAGGCAGCATATGATCAAAAATGAACAATCTTCTTAAAGCCTAAATAATTTCATCTTCAAGCAATCAATGTATCAATGCATATGGATTTATCATTTTTTGATCAGATTCATAAAGCCTCAACCATGAACCCTCTTATTTTTAATATCAAATGTCTTGCTAACAACCTTGCTAAAGAGTCTTCTAAATTCAAGTATGAAGATAACTTCTTATTTTTGAAGGATCAACTCGCCTATGCATTCTTCAAATACGCCATGACTTCTTTGCAGCCAAACATTTTGGATTCAATAAGACATTGGAACTTCTGTCTACATACTTTTGATGGCCTAAAATATGGAGGGACATTAAAGAATTTGTACTATCATGTGATATTTGTTTAAGATCAAAGAATCCTTGATATCAGCTATATAGACTTCTTCAACCTCATCCTATTCAAAGACAACCATGGTCATCTATTTCCATGGATTTCATTAGAGATATTCCACCATCAAGCTTATTTGATACTATCTTTGTAGTTATTGATCGATTGATCAAGATGGCACATTTTATACTTTGTAAGTAGTCAATTACTGATGAAGAGATGATAAGACTCTTTATTGATAATGTCTATTGGTACCACGGGTTATCAAACAACATTGTCTTAGATCGTGGATCATAATTTGTATCAAGTTTTTAGAAAGCACTCTTCAAGATTTTTAAGGTTGACATCAATCTTTCTTCTACCTTTCACCCTCAAACTAATGGTCAAACAGAGTGGGTTAATCAAATTCTTAAGCAATATTTGAGGTGCACCATCAACTATCAATAAGACCACTGAACTTCTTACTTGTCATTAGCGGAGTTTGCATATAATAATACAATCCATAGATCTATGCAATAAATGCCATTCTACTCAAACTACAATCATCATCTAAATTTGGATATGTTAGAGCATTCAAAATTGACAAATCTACCAGCAAAGGAGTTTGCTACAAAGATGGCTGAACTTCAAGCAAGCATGAAGACTCACCTAAAAAAGACTCAATAATATTATAAAATACTGGAAAATAAATTGAAGAAAGAACATCCTCTATTCCAAGTTGGTAACAAAGTATGGCTTCTTTGATGCAATATAAAAACCAACAGGCCATGTTATAAGTTGGACTACTGAAACATGGGACCATTTGCAATTCAGAAACAAATCAATAATGCAACTTATTATTTGGAGCTACCTTCATCCATGAAGATTCATCCAGTCTTTTATGTTTCACTTTTGAAAAGGTATAAAGAATCAAATATACCAAGTCGAAGATAACCACCACCTCTTATGGTTGAAAACAATGATCATATTAAATTTTAGACAGAAGAAGTATTAAATTCAAGGATAAGACTTCAAAGGCTTGAATACCTGGTCCATTGGTGTAGATATGATATTAGCAATTACACGTGGGAACCAGCTGCAACCTTATAAATGCACAAATGAAGGTTCAAAAGTTCCATCAATAATATTCATCTAGGCCAAAAGTAGCAAAATGAGGAACATTAGCTTAATAAGATGGTTTCATCATGAAGATTCTTATTTTTTGGCTTCATAAAGAAGAGGAGGCAATCTCTGAAGAGGTAGTTTTTTTAAATATTTAAAATAGTATAAGTTAGTGGTTTGAATTCACAACTATAGCCTATTTATATTCTTTTGATCTTGTCTATTTTATTTGATATGGATAGTCAAGAAATAGACACTCTGTCAGTCATACCATCTCAACCAAGTAGTTTGTGGAGATGATATTAAGATAAAGAGCTGCCTAAACCATGAAGACAATGAAAGATATTCAATAATAGATCATTGATAATTATATTTGAAGTAGAATTTGCTCATGAAGGACGTCCAAAAGGAGTGTTTGTAAGACAACTCCATGACAAAGATACCAAAGTTCATGCTTAATCACAAGTAGAAGGCTTGGAATACTATCGATGGTTATAAGGGCCTATGAATTATTTGCCTCATGAAAAATAATTGGAATATGTAGTAGACACCATATAATAAATCTTCAACTTCTTGTGCATATACTGACTTACAACAACATTATTTTTTAAAGACCTCGAAGCTAGAGGAGGAGGTGATGTCATGAACATATAACTGAAGAAGATTTGAGAAGATTCTAAGAGGTTCTAAAAGGTTTTAAGAAGATTTTAGAAGGTTTTAAGAAGATTCTTATTGATTCTAGAAGGATCAAGAAGATTCTAAAAGGTTCTAGTATGTTCTAAGAAGGTTTCAAATGGTTCCAATAGATTCTAAGAAGATTCTAAAAGATCATAAGAGATCCTAGAAGGTTCTAAAAGGCTTTAGATATTTTAGGAAGCTGTCAAAGAAAGATCTTAGGTTTGATTTGTTCTCAAGCCTCATGAAAACTTTTCAAAAAAGTTCCTAGGACCTACTATATATAGGAGTCGAGGTTGAGGAGATCCTCAATCTCGACAATTCACTTCTTGTGGTTTTGCTAGGACCTTCTTACTTTGTAACCAGTTATTGTTCTAATGTCGAGCTAACTTTATTTCTTGATCTTGAATCTTTATCTTGTACATGGTCTCTGACAAAGATCTATAATAAAAATTATATTATAAATAGCCACTACTCAACTATTATAATAAAGATTTATAATAAAAATTTAGACTCAATCTTGAAGTAATATTGATAGTAAACAATATGACTAAGCCATATTCTTATACTTACAATCATGCAAGGTCTTTACATGATCACAAGAAGGATGCAAAATAAAAATATTATAATAATAAAGGTTACCATAAGAAAGAATGTTGGACCAAAGATAAGGACAAGAAGTCAAAGAAGTTAATAAAGACTTTTTAAAAAAAAAAAACTAATACAATAGACACAAAAGATCAAAAAAAAAAAAAAAAAAAAAAAAAAAAAAGGAATTTTTCTTTATAGTTGTATTAACTATTACTATGAGTAACTAAGTTTGATATATTGATTTTGATGCTTCTCAATACATAACAAGAAATAAGAATCGGTTTTTAAATTATAGAAATCTACCATTCGGCTTTAAGATTTATTTAAGAGATAATATTAGATTTTTTATTAAAAGAAAGGATAAAATATATTTTTAATTTTTAAATAAAATTTAAAGGAATGTATATGATATTATATACTTTAAAGGATTAGCCAAACTTTTGCTTTAAATTAACAAAATAAAAAATTATAATTATGGAGTCAATTTTAAAGTGGACACATATTTCATAAAATAAGATAATATCACAATGAAGGATGTTAGATATAGAAGCTTATATAAGTTGTTAGGATTTTAAAATAAAGATAAGAAAACTTTTCTTGTTATGGTGTTGTGATGTAACATAAGTAATAGGTGGAAAAAGTGAAGAAATTATTATATTATAGAAGATCTTACTTCAAATATTGTAGTATATTATCTTAGAAAATAGACAATAGTCCAAAAGAAAGTAAAACTAAAGATGTAAATGCTACCTTTTTATAAAGTAGACTTCTATTTACTTTGTAAGGCTATAAATAAGCCAAAAAAAGATAGATTAGAAAAGTAAAAGTTATGAGCACATATATGAAGAAATTTGGAGTTGATTTTAGCAAAAATTAATTCAAAAAGATAAAATTTAATATCCAAAAATGACTAGTTATCAACTTGGACCAAAATCAAATCCTAAAGCACAAAACTAAGTACCTACAGCAACTCGGAGGTTCTTTGATAGACTAGAGAGAAGGATTTGAGAGAAAACTTGTAAGAATTTCTTTGGACATTGATTTTGAGTGATTTGAGTGTGTAATAACTTTGTAAGAGCTTTGCCAAGTTATTGTTGTTTTGAGTGATTCTAAAATTTATGAAATAAAAAAGATATTATATTTTAAATAATTTTGTGAATTTGGTAGTACAAACAATAATAGAGCTTTGTCTTTTCTTGATTAAGAGTACATTACTCCTTTTTTTTGATAAGACATAAGCATATTAGAAGTTGCAGATTATCCTCTTTTAAACTAATATTATTCTTAGTATCTTCTTTGTTCTCAAGTCCTCCTTTCTGCTTGGCTTAAGTAATATTAGATTTTTTTTTTCTAAGTGTCATCATAGCAGAGCTTCTTGAAATGAAGAGTGCAATGGCACAAATACAAGAGCAATTGAAGGAATTGATGCTTGCAATGTATCAACTCAATTTATTGCCACCTTGAGCAACAAAAATGGCAAGAAGTAAAGATATGGATATGATTGGAGCTGCTTCAACATCTACACTCAATCACATCCCTTCTCCTATGATGGAACATCCTTTTAATGTTAGAGAAGTAAGAGTTATCCTACTTGAGAAGTTTGATGGCACAAGATCGAAGTTTTGAAGATTTATCAATCAAGTACAATATGTGATTGAACTTCAATTCCAAAACTATCCAATTGCAAGATCATAAGTTAGATTTATTAATACACTTCTTTTAGGTTTAGCATTATTATGGTTTTTATCTTTTCTTGAACAATAAGATCCAATATTAGATAATTTTGAGACTTTTTTGGCATAGTTTTGATCTTTGTATGGAGAACATACTACAATCCGTGTTGCAACCAATAAGATGCAATAAAAAAAACTTCAAATTGAAGTTAAATTAAGAGAGTTTGATTTATGCTGATCATGAAGAACAACTTTAGTTTCACAAAAAAGATTCATAATTTCAAAAGCTAAAAACATGATCAGATCTCTGTATCCTTTCATTCCTTCATTAGTACGTACTGAATTTTTGATAATTGTGGCAAGCACCTGGTCTATATCTACAAAGCTTCAACATTAAAAGGTTAGAGTAAGGTGAGAGTGTCAAATAAAGCTATCTCAAAACATGGTTGTATCACTGTATTCATTACATCACTGGATCATGGAATATCATGTAATATCATGTACAACAGCAATAAGCTCAGTTTGTCCTGCTACTTTAGTGCTGTAAAAGGCTGCAGACTGTCTAGATGTAGAACACATAACTTCGAATCTCTACAGATTAGTGACAGTCCTGCAGGTGCCCTTTCTTAGAATTTGTTGCTTCAACAAGAAATTTGTGCCCGAAGCTCATGGTTTATAGGTAGGATTCACAAGTACTTATCACTAACCGATAATATGCCTTAATTATATATATTTTTTCTGAACGTCTTTCTCTTGTAAAAGCTGTGATGAAGAGATGGTACTGAAACATATAACTGTATATCCATTGTAATTTGAAGTTGCTACTAAATTGTCTTGAAAGTTATTCTTGAAATACTAATATCTGAACCAATGAGTTAGATTAGAACGAATGGTGCAACAACTCACAATGCCGTTAACTGGCTGCATTCAAAGATGAGAATAAACTTGCTCACTTACCACAGTCCACTCGGGTAGCACAAGTGCTGACGCCGTACTTCTTCAAAGTCAGGGCAGTTTGTGGTGTGCAGTATTCGTCCTTAGCTGCAAAGCCGAGGTAGTTGCATGACCCCAGGTTCAAGCACCTATGGGTCGTGTTTGTCGGACTGCATATGCGTGAAAGGGCATATCAGATTGTCAGCAATTTCAGCAAAACTGAAGTAGAGGCCTATCAGGATACTGGAGCATGTATTGGTAGAAGCCCAAATCTGAATAGCATAGATGAACTGTAGAAAATTAGACCTTGATTCTTCCTGCTTCAAGTCTAATATCATCTCCTAAGTGACTTACGCACAGGTTTTCCCGTTGTAAACCCGCTCAATCACTTCGATCCTAGAATCAGGTGAATTAGCGGTTGGTCTGTTAAAGGAGTCCTGGTCAATGAGCAACACTTGATTATTTACAATCGAAGAATATAATCGTCCTCAGGGAGATTAGAGCATGTACTGCTATAAGACACTGTTCACTCCAGCAATGTTTTCATTACATGCTTCCGCAGAGGCGCTGCACAAATGTCACGGAGTTTAAATCATCCTAACTATTCTGCACAATATTCTGCACATTGGTCTGTTTCACATAACTAAGATGTTTAAGGTTTCAGAATCATATCACTGCTTGACAAATGCAACATGGACGAAAGATAACCGCCAAATGCATGTCTATGATGTGAAAGTGCATTTCCGTAACTATAATTTATAGTTAAGTTTGTTATGACGATCGTTTTTTAGTACCTGAACCCGAAAGTACATCCGTCGCGTGAAAAAATTCTCAAAAATATCTGCTGAGCGGTGCATAACCCTGCAAAACATGCCGCTGTGCTTAATTCGAGGTTGTGACTTCTTCAGAACCTCAGCTTTATTGGAAAGCTGTATTTGCAATGTAGGCGAAGAGCTTAACTGGTCTTCACCTTCCTAGTCCAGTTCCTTGAGACTCAGCAAGTAAATTAGGTGTAAATGCAAATAATATCATGGTACTCTCTTCTGATTCAAGAGTACATGTCCTACATAAGAAATTAAAAAAACAAAAGCACAGTGGCTTCCAGAGAAGAACAAATCTTGTGCAACGCAGCTAGTAGCATTTCGTAATGTCCGGTGTCTGTAAGGAGCATAAAGTTCTTACAAAACGATTTTCTGTCGGAGAGATATGATTTCGTTGAGCAGTATCTCCTTAATTTTCAGTATCAAAGACCGATAAAAGACAATCATCAGTAATCTGAGTACCTAATGTGTTCATCGCCTGTTTTCATACAAGAAATTATTTCACAAGAACAGCGGTGTTTATGTCGGTTAAAATAGCTGAGGAGGAGCTGAGAAGTCCAGTACTAATAGCGGATTCTGCCTGAGTGTCCCAAGCGTTGGTCATGTATAAATAGCTCGTGTTTGAAGGGACCAACTCTTGAAATTCTAGGTCATGTCCCCTCCTTAGATCATCCTTTATTGGGGATGGCTCAGCTAATTCAAGTGCTTCTAGTTCGCAGGAATCACCATCTTTCCATAGTTTTTGCAAGACACTCGAGACCAATTGGAACCTCTAGCGAGGATGTGGACCTCAAGAATTTTCATTTATCATTGATGTCGCTCGCAATTAGTCACGGTCGAAAACAAGGATATAGGTTTCTGAGCTCTCCTAAATGAGCTCCATCAGGCTGTCGGACTTAACAGATTAAAATAAGAATTTTCGAATAGGAAGCAAGATTCTGAACATGATTGAATGTACCTTACGATAATTCACTTCTCGTTTGAAATAAAGGAATTGGAGCAGATCGAGAAGGTTTCCAGCCAAGTAAACAAAAATGTATCCAAGGTAGCTGACAAGCAGCACGTAGTATGTTGATTTCATTGTAACTTCAATCAAGCACTCCCGCAATTTTGGCTGCGCTTGCAGATACGGCCCTTACAAAATATCGTAAATATCGAAGATACAGATCCCTGCGCCAGTGGTATTTCTATTCTTGAAAATGAAGTATAACTTGGGAAGGCTTCACTATCATTGGAGGAGGATGGTTAGTTTCAATACACCAAAAATCAAATTTCACATACAAAAAAATCCTGCTCCTTCCCTCACAGCGTCGCTCCTCACACAGTTCTCATACTGAATGGTTAGAGCGGTAAGGAACCTAAGAAAATCTAGTTAACGTCCTGCATTAATCAACTTCTTAAATCAACAGCTAGCACTTCTTCCCCCGCACAATTGAATCAAAGACCTCCTCACAGTTAAGTATTGCAAGCTTATCAATACTTATTATACTAAAACGGTTTCTAGAATACCTTGCCAAGAGACTCATTCGCCCCTGTACCTCCTTGAACCACATGTTCTACAAGCCCAAGAATCAACATATTCACAGGCACAGAGGATCAGTAGAGCCGGTGAGGGAGGGGGGTAGGAGAAATCCGCAACCAAGTACACCAGGACGTGGAGCAATCACTCAAGATATCAACGCCAACCGAGTAGTAGTGTGGAAGAATCATCTGGTCCTATTGAACGCAAACAGCTGCATTAAATTGAACGGAGAATCGAAGGATAACCTATTCACCCCGGCTCAATTGATCAAGAATGATGATGTGACGAGTTTGTTAAATTTCAATGCCATTACACTACATAACACCTGACAATGAACGACTCGAAGTGTTTATAAAAACGCTTTGCCAGGTGTAGATGTGTTCAAGTACCATACAGTGCTTGACCAGAAGAAGACCCCGATCTCTGGTACTGAAAGAAGGCAAAAATCCTGCCCTGATCCACGGGATAGTTGGCAGAGTTGCAATGCACGAAAACGCCATCTGCAGCAACTCTCAGCCTTCCCGAATCGCCGAAAAGCATCGGGGCCTTGATGTGCCAAAAACAAGGACGAATGAAGAATGAACAGATAACGAGAAAGTTTTCATTCGTTTAAGTCTTTTGCATAGTAGACAGTGGAACGCAGACGCGGTGAAATGTGCCGATCGTCGGTATTGACCTTGAATCCGTCCATTGTTCACCTGCGACATCTTGGAAACTACAGCTATTTTAGGGTTTGGTTTCGGAGCTCGGAGTTCGGAGCACGGTGCTTGCAGCGAGTTGTAGCAAGATCGTCTGATTGCGCGCACGTCGGAGATCGCTTAAAGTGAAGGTTGCATTGCTCTGGCAAGAAGTATTTGCAGGTAGGACGGTAGAGTCTGGATGCGCCAGAGTTGTCGGTTTGGCCTTCTTCGCAAGGGTGCGTGTAGATCAATTGCTGTTAGGAGTTGCTGCGACATACTTTGCGTACTTGCTGAAGTTGGTTTTATATAACAATTTTTATTTGATTATCTCCTTTGTGTTGTGGCGTAGGAGAAGAAGTCATGATGCTTGGATTTAGCGAATTCGAAGAGCTGATCCTTGTTTTTCCGTCAGGTATTCTACTTTTTTTATTGTTTATTGTTTATTGTTACATTTGTACTGGTTATAAATTGGCCTCAGAACTAGAGCGGCTGTGTATTTCTAGCCAATTGCAATTTTATTGGGTGTATTCAGTGATGCAGTGGATCTGCGCCTGACGAAGGATAATTTGCTCAATAATCCATTGACGCTAAATTATGTTTAGCTTGTCGTCAGCAGTTTTATGCTCATGACCTGGAATTGCTAATCCCAGACTGGCAAGGGATGGAGTAATTCTACGAAGCGAGCGCGTCAGGGTTTGGTTTTAGGAAGCTGGGCTGCCACAGACACTTTTGACGATGGGTCCCTCTAGATATGTCATTGTGCTCCTCACATTTGTGACGATCGGCATGGCTGGGGGTGAGCATTTCCTAGCTGCTGTTATCCTGTCGATGAGAGGAATCGTAAGAATTTTATTTAATGATTCCGGTACATTTCTTAACATGATAAAACCAATCTGATCGGAACATTTTGGATTTTATTTACTTATCTATAATTGATTTTGCAGGGGCGTTATTGCAGCTGGCTTTCTTGAAGAAGCTAGAACAAAGTAGTGGTACGAATCTTAATTTTGACTACTGATGGTGATGATTTGTGCTTCACCTGTTCTACTTTATCGTTTTTTTGTTTGGATTTGTTTTGTTTTTGAGTCATAAATCCTTGAAATATTTGGTATGAGATGAGATGTGCTTTTGAGTTGGACTATTGATAACATTCCTCTTCTTTGTTTGATCTTATATACTTCGAGAATGCTGAGATGTACACTGACTTAAAGAATGTTATCAGGAGCTGGGATTTACAATTATAGAAGAGAGATAGGGGAATACGAAAACCAAACATTTGGATCGGGTGAGTCAAAAAATCTTGTTTGCGAAACTTGTCATTCTTAAAACAGAGGAATAATGATACTATATATTAGTTTTGCGAATTCAATTGTAAATATTTTCAACGTTCAACTGGTTAATGCATTTTAAAATATAACCTTTTGACATTCTGCAGGATTGTCCCTTTGGGCTAATGATGAAGATGCGAGAACACTACGTGTTGGACTGGTTGGTTATATTCTCATATCTTTAGTTTTCAATCATTCGTTTTGCTCCTCACATCGTCCCTTCAGTTGCAGATCACTTGTTGAACGCTGGCTCTTGGTTGTGTCTGGAATGAGGACGTAAGTGCGCAAGTATAATGAATGTCATAAGGCCTCTACTGTTTCGATATTGATGATGTGTTGATTAGTATTAGTATTGATGTGGCATGATTTGAGTTGGAATATGTGCCGACATGCTACCGGTTACACCATAGAAGGTAGCAACAGTAGCTGAGCATTCTTATTTTAACAGCCACCACTCTCTTTGCACGAGTCCCTTCAATCCTCCTACTGACTGTCACTTCTCTTTGCTAATGCAGGTTAAGCAAGAAGTTATTAGCTGGCAACCCAGAATCATTCTCCTGCACAATTTCCTTAGTGCTGATGTACGTCGATTTGGTCGCTCCTGCATGCTGATCTAGAGATTCTTGGCTAGATCAGTACTGTGTAGTAGAGTGTGGCCTTAAGCGCAACGTAATCGTTGTGTGGCTTCACTTCTTTTTTCTTTTTTCTCTTATTATTATAATTTTACAAAAAAATTTTGTAGCAATATTTTGTCAGGTTTCCTTATCATCTAGTAGTATTTCATTTCGTAGAAGAAAAATGTGCGTCGCTCGTATTTTTACATGCCTGGAGAAGACTTCTTTTCAGGGTGAAATATTTAGATCGCGTCATATTTGATTAATATTGACTATTCTGTGCAGGAATGTGATCACCTGATAAATCTTGCTCGCCCCAGGCTCGTGAAGTCAACAGTCGTGGATGCAACCACAGGCAAGGCACGTATCTCAACCACTGGGTAGTCTCTGTGTACATTGGAATGTCTGGGATGCCTGCTTCATTTCAGACGGATATTTGGTATTGTTTTTGTTCTGTAGATGAGGAAGTGTATTCCCTCGACTACATTGTAATTACAGCTCAAGAAATACAGTTGATCTTCTCGCAAGTGAATTTAGAAGTTCAATTGCACTATGCTATTATGAGGGTGGTTGACTTTCTTTTTTAATGTGGACTTTGTTGGAGTTTTTCGCTTGCTTGCAACGTGTATGAATGAGACGTATGCTTAGACTTGTCCTTCATGACCTTTTTAAGCAGGGAATCGAGAGTAAGGTTCGAACAAGCACAGGCATGTTCCTTAATGGAAATGACCGCAGACATCACACTATTCAGGTGAGAAATTTATTACAATGAATAGTCTTTCAGGAAGTTTTCCTTTGTAATGTCAAGGCTGATGGCTATTTATTTTATATCGGTAACGGATTTCATGGATTATTCTTTGTATGCCTCTTTCAACCCGTGGGTTTGTTTCTTGCATTGATCTTGTCCTCAGGCAATCGAAACCCGTATTGCTGCGTATTCTATGGTACCTGTTCAAAATGGGGAGCTCCTCCAAGTTTTACGGTGAGTGGTCGTATGTTTTTTTCTGATACTGTTTCAAGTTCTTGCCCAGTAGAGACGTGTGCTTTGTTCTTCTTGGCTTGGAATATGCGACTAGTTTTCTTGATGTGTGTGTATGTGTATGTGTATCTGTGTTTTCCCCTTCCTGGCAGGAAATTGGAATCATCTGTAATTTTTCAGCTTGAGTTCCAGTTTAGACTTATGATCGTAGCTACGTGATTGTGATAATTCTCATTATCCACCAGATGTGTTGGAAGTCGATATGTGGGACCTGAACCACTTAAATTGATTCCGGAATAGGATTTCTCAAGCTGCGGAATCTTTCTTTGTGGTTCTGAGCAATATCAACTATCTTGCTAAACAGATATGAATCTGATCAATATTACAAGGCACATCACGACTACTTTTCAGATGAGGTATTTTCTGTCTTTTAAAACGATCATACAGAAGATCGATGCTCACTCATAGGTGACATTAGCATTTTCCAATTACAGTATGTGGTGTAATTCATTTCTAGCTAGAACATTATTTACCACCTTCCTGATTATATTCTATTCTAAATTGGTTGGTAGAGTGGAACTTGCTGTACTGGAAGGCTTTATTTGCAATTGAATGTTAGTTCTTTGCTGGTTGAAAGTTGGCCATCTACATGTGTAAATTGAACCTCATATTTTAATCGACTTAGATCTTGTTGACTTATGGTATGAACTCTTGCTCCGCAGTTCAATTTAAAAAGGGGTGGGCAACGTGTGGCGACAATGCTTATGTACTTGACCGAGGGGGTCGAGGGAGGCGAAACAATATTTCCGCAGGTGTTCTTCAGTTCCTATCGCCTTCATTATTTCACATGAAGATTGTTGAACTCAAGCTGTTGGATCTCTGCATATGTCCTTCACACAATCCTACCCTCTGACATTTTTTAAATTCAGGCTGGAGATAAAGAGTGTAGCTGTGGCGGTGAAATGAAAATCGGCGTCTGTGTGAAACCTAAACGAGGGGATGCTGTCCTGTTTTGGAGCATTGTAAGTGCTTTTACCCAGTATGATTATTCTTCATTGGCAATGAGACAAGGTTTCTGTGTGATATGATTACAGTCGGAACATATCTTCATGCTATGTCTAACTTCTACTACATTAACTTCTTCCTTAATTAAATCCTGGGAGGCCCTAGTGAAGTTCTTATTCGTATTGAATTTCTGTTTGCAGAAGCTGGATGGACAAGTTGATCCAACAAGCCTTCATGGTGGATGCAAAGTTTTGTCAGGAGAGAAATGGTCGTCTACCAAATGGATGAGGCAGCGAGCCTTTGATTAGGGTGAACTTTGGATGGTAGGAGCTGTAATCATAGTAGAAGACCAATAATAGCGATTATGCCTCATCATTCCGGAAGCTTTGCGGGCTTTTCCCGATGCATCTAAGAATGTATGTAATGAGCAACTTTGAATACTGTCAGTGATTCGTAACAAGAAAAAAATCGATTTAGTGGTATTGTGGACTTTGAAATGAAGGTTAAGATCACGAAGAGCTTTATATGCTGTCATTTTGTATATGTAGGAATGCAATGTTGTAAGGAGTTGGGTCAGTTCAAAGCTTAACACAGGATCAGTATGCTCTAGAGAACTGAAAATACACAGAAATTGTTGAACTTGATTGTAAACTTAGCGTTGCAAGGACTTAGTCGCTCAAGTTTTGAAGCCGAAATTTTCATTTTGCTTTGGGAGTCGTGTCTACCATTATATTGGGATGGAACGTGGTGAAATTCAATAACCAAGCATTGGGTAACTTCTTCATCGAACCTTGTACTCAAACTTACACATACTCACTGCCCAGAAACAAAGAGGATTCCTGAAGATTGTATTCCTTCTAACAAGTATGACAAGTTCGAACTCTTGATCCAATCTTCGTACATTCTAGCACAGACGGGTTCGAGTGAACACTCACCCAACACATTGAATCTACCTACAGGAGGATCTTCATCAACCCAGCCGCAGGTCATATCTGTCTTCACTCAAACCTTTGCAACAGTCATGGTTTTTGCACATTGTTCAGCAAACCCACCTTCATTACCAGATCCATCAAGCTCTTGCTGAATCTGCTTATTCACTAGTAGATGGTAACGCAGTACCCACAAGTCGCTCCTTTTATACCCGAAATTATAGGAATATGGTTGTTAAAAAGACTAATGTGGTGTTTTTGATCCGTTTGATGGTAATAGGTGTAAATGTTGAGGGTATATCAATGAAGTATACTCTGCAATAGAATCTCCAATATTCGAAATCTTAAAACATTTTAATTCACGATTTGAAGCTTGTAATATTTAATTATTATGTAAAATTGTAAATTTATTCTATAAATTATATATAAATATAATTTGAAAATCAATTTCGAAATCATATGTGTTGCCAATTAAGGGAAAAAAATATAATTTTTATCAGTAATTAATACTTTCTAAATTTGGATTTTTAAACAAGTAAATTCAGAAGAAGAAAAAATAAATAAATAAATAAGGATCGAATTTGATACCCAATCGAATGAAATTTCAACATGGTAAAAACAATTTGGCTCTACTTCTATAAATTATACTCCAAGATATAGTAACATTAAGAATATATTTTTTAACTATTTAATTATATTTATATATATATATATATATGTATACATCAAAATTATAACAAGAAGTAACAATGTTGCAAAAAGGATAATTTTGAAATCTAACCACTGTTTCCTGGATTTGAGGACTACATTGCCATGCAGAATGTTAGGTTGAAACATTGTTATTGGATCAAAGAAAGCGACGCCAAGAGAGGGTTCAATTATTTGATATCTTTCAATTTCTACAGGTCAACTCAGATGCAAGGCTCGACATTGTCCACTTCCAAATTATTGGTAAATACTATACATGAACTGATTCAATCGATCCTACAAATTGAGGCCGTTGCCAATCAGTCATGTAAGAATTGAAATCGAATTATTCATTAAAATTGTTATCCATAAAATCTAACCCCATTGCCATCTTCCTGGCCTATAAGTTCCCTCACTATTTCATACAATAAGACCTGTTGAAAGATATAACATGCCAACAATAGAATATAAGTAATATACATACTCCGCTTGGGATGCCTGAAGATATTGCAATCTTTTAAAAACAAGACTAGAATAATGTCACTGACGTCACCGATTCAGACAATTATCTCACTGATGCGGCAACCGAGATAGCTTCGACTCTGATATACCTCAAGAACAATTTCGTCCTTCGGAAAAAATGAAGCTATATAAACTTCAACAGTGTAAACTTCCAGCTGCAAGAATTCGACTCCAGTCGAAAACTCTGGAGCTCTAAACAGAGAAAAATTTGTCAACTGGCCCTTCACCAAGTGGATTCTTAATTCCACAAACATAATGTGAATTCAAGAATTCTATAACCTGCAGACTAGAAGCAGTGTATACGGGACAAGAATAAGCTTCAATGTTGGCAGCACAAACATCTCATCACCGCCCTCTGGCCCTTGCCCAGAGCTAGGTTAAGCTTCCAAGGGGGCTTTCCCACGTGTAGAATTGTCGACGGCAGGCACTTCAGCGGCACGCTGTTGCTGCAATGCTTGACTTGAAGCTGTTTCTTCCTGCTTCACGCGCTTCAAGAGCTCACGCTGATACTGCATGACCTGATTCTCCATCCTCCTAAGCTCCCGAAACCGCCACGCGCCGTATATGCCTAAACCTCCAAAGGTAACGACGTAGGAAGCCCACACGTAGGGATACGCCTTCGCGTGCTCCACTGCCCTCTGCCACTGCTGCTCGCACCGCTCCACAAACCCTTCCGGCTGTGCAACCTCCGTGCTTTCTACATCCGCCATACCTAACCTCGCTTCTACTCCCCTTAAACCCTCAACCCTGGCTATATCCTAAACTAACCCTATAAATCACCAAATCTGTAAACAAATCGCACCAGCATGGACAACCTAGCTTCAGTAGTACCTCATACCAGAAGCCAAAACCTAAAATCACATAAACTCCGAGCTGCTGAAATACATAAACCACAAATTACCCTCATTCTTTCAACAAATCGATCTAATCGCACAAAACAAGCTCCCCTCCAGAATTCATAACCCTAAACTACATCGCAACTTCTACTCCTCCCTCCAAACAATTACTCAGCACAATAAAGCTCGCAACTACCACAAACGGCTTCCGACCTACACGTACAAGGTTTTTAGTTCTTGCGCACAACGGCTCGACTTCGAGCTTCGTCGACTGTTTGCGACGTTACAACTGCGAACACCGCCGCACACTTCGGCACTAAACTCTAAATTTGGGTAGTTAAGAAAAACGATGGAAGCAAGTTATGGGGAATTTCTTTTTTAAGTGATTCCATGTGGTATTGTGAATTAGGGTTTTTTTAATGCTTGAGTATGTTTGTGATTTTTTTTGGAATTTTAACCCAAAATAAATAAGAACAGGCTACAACACTAGTGTCAGTTTACAGTGTAAATACCATTCTAAAAGATTAGAATTTGTTTTACTTTTCAATTAATTGCATGATCCATTCTTGTTTGTATACCCTTCAAAAAAAATTTAAAAATTTAAAAAAATTTATATATATATAGATGAGAGACATATACTTGATTTATTATAATTTTACAACAAATGGTGGAAATTTTATCTTCTTTATTTCTCTACATGCAAGTTGAAAAAATGACATTGCATCTATGAAAAAAAATAAAATAAAATAAAGAGTTCATAAGAGTCTTCTATTAAATTTAAAACATCAACTTAATTTTTGCATTGGTATAATTTATATCTATATATACATTATTCTTGAGATAAATTATACAATATTTAAAAAACCTCAATTCATATTTTTTAACAATTGAGGTCGAAATCAAACCCTGAGGTCAACCTTCAATTCAACTGTAACAACTTGGGTCGAAATCAGACCCTGAGGTACAAAACCAAGCACCTGTGGTAATTCGCGGGTTCTTTTGGAGATCAAAGAGTGAAATTAATGAGCAAACTTGGAAGAGTTTTTTTAAGCATTTATTTTGAGTGAGTTGAGTGTGTAATGACTTTGCAAGAGCTTTATAAAGTCACACTTGTTTTGGGTGACTCTAGAATTTGTGAAATAAAAAAGGTATTATAATTTGGAGAATTTTTTGAGTTTGATAGTAGATCTATGGTTCAAATTTGGAGGTCTTATAAGAATAGTTATTTGGAAGGTATGCTATAAGTTTGAGCTTGATCAAACAGTTGAATTGAAGGTTGTTGAATTTCAAGTAAATTGAGATTTTAAAAATTGGACTTTGAGAAGCAATTAGGGTTTCTAAGATCAAAAAAAATCTATTAGGTGGATGTGTGAAGGTTATAGACTTGATTTACTACACATATATGAAATTTGAGAACAATTCAATTGTTTGAAAAAGAGATATTGGCACTAGAAGTTCAACATTCAAATTTGGAGTAGGAGGCCAGCCAACACTTGAGTCGATTTTAGGGTTTTTCTTCTATTTGATTAGTGCAGTTATCTTCAAATTTTTTGTGCTTATTGCTAACTTAGTTTTTAAGAAGTATATAAATTTTTAAGCAAGATCAAATATTTGATTGATAGATATTGAGGTTTTAAACAATACTAGGATTAGATTGAGTTGGTTAAGATTTGGTTAGGATATGGTTTAAGATTTGATTTAGGATTTAGGATTTATCTAGAGTTTGATTTAAGATTTAGGATTTGTCTAAGGTTTAATTTAGGATTTAGATTTTTCTAGGATTTAATTTAGAGTTTAAGATTTATCTAGGATTTGATTTAGGATTTAAGGTTTGTCTAGGATTTGATTTAGGATTTAAGATTTGTTTAGGATTTGATTGAAGTTCATTACGATTTTAATGAAGATTAAATTAAAACTTAGTTGAAATTTATTTAAGATATATTTTTAATTAATGTAATATTTTTAAGACTTTTTAAAAACTCTTTTAAGGTTTATTGTGGATTTATTTTTCAATTCCTTTAAGATTTCTTTTTTTTTAATAATTTCATTAAGGTTTCCTTTGAATTTGATTAATTCTTATTTAGTATTCTTTTGTCTATTTTAATTTTTGAATTTGTTTGAATTATCTATGAAAAAAAATATTATAGATGCTACTCTCAGCAAAAGTGAGAATAAATTTGCAATTATTGCAAATCTTCATGAGCTTATTAATGCTCTAAGAATAAAAATCTCATGTATTTCTAATATAAATCATAGAGGTATTATTCCTACGCCTATGAAAAAAGTTCAAAATTTGTATCAAAAAATTATGTAGTTGAAGGAAGCAAGTAGATTGATCTTACAACTAAATCCACAAAGTTTTGCTTCTACAAGTATGATGGGCATAAGGATTAATATACTTGAGAATTTTGATGGAACAAGATCAAAATTTTGAGGGTTTTAACAACAAATCAAGCTTTATCTAAGATTACATCCCTTCCAATACCTTAATGGATTTACTCAAGTCAAATTCATAGGTGCACTTCTATTAGGAAGTACTCTCTTTTTATTTGCATCTTTAATGGAAAAATATTTGCGACTCTTTTAGGATTTGAATTCATTTCTAAAAGTTTTTACTCCCATATTTGAAGAAAGTGATCAAAAAAGTGTAGCAGAGATTAAGCTCTTATGATTATGATAAGGATCATAGTCAACCACCATATATGCTCTTCAATTCTAAAACCTCACTTGTAATGTGGACTATACAAAAAAAAAAAACCCTTATTAATCAATTTTGATATGGATTGAAGAATAATATCAAATATTTGTTATTGATAATACAAAAGATAGAATCTTTGAAATACTTTATTACTCAAGCTATTGCATGTGATAATTGATTATTTAAAAGATGTTAAGAATAAAGACTTGACTAAAGAAGAATAAGTCAAATAATGACAGCAACTCCTAAGTTTTCAAAAACCTATTTATTAAGGCTAGAACTAATGGAAATTGATATGATACATTTTAAATCTTTCAAGAGCAAAAAAAGATTTAATGACATTAAAAAGACTTATGTTTATATTATGCAGAAGCTAAATACACTGCTCAACATTCGTCAAAGAAACAATACAACCACTTAATAAGAAGTATGGTTGCCAAAGAAGATGATGTATTTGAAAACAAGTTTCTCTAGCTATAATGGGGCCATTGTTGTACTATAAATATTTATAGTATATAAAAATTAATTAAACATATTTTATATTCATAAGTCTTGATGTATATTAGAATGGTTAATAAATTAATTTAAAGAGAGTGAATATACAAAACTTTATTTTGAATTTTATCTATATTTATTATTATATTTAAATTATATAAGATTTAGATATTTAGTACAGAGCTTTAAGAGAAGATGGAAGCATAAGGATAAAAATCTAAACTATTAGGAGGTTTATGGAGAGGGATGAAATAAAGGCATGGTTGGATGAAGGCAAAAGGTAAAGATCTTTATTCCTATTGGTCAAAGGCCATGCCTAATGAATATTCAGCAAGCTATCTATGACCATAACAAGGATTTTGGCAACTTTAAAAGAAGCATTCAAGAATTAGAGGCAAGGATTGTAAAGTTTAAAATTTGGACTACAATTTTTTTGTAAATATTAGAAGAATTGGAGTTAGGATGATAAAGTTATAGGCATTTGAAGTTAAGATGTCTTTTAAGACATACTATTGTTGTTTTGAGGATACAAGGAGTTTTATGATAGATTTTGAAAATTTAGAGATATAAATACAAGCATAATTTTAGGATCTAAATTTAATATGAAAGAATTTTTTCATTTAGATTTTTTATGAAAAAATTATAGAGCATTAAAGATAGCACATGTCATTCAAAGGCAATAAGTGAGTTATTTTGTTAATAGTAATAGTTGGAGCCATATCTTGAATTTCCAAGTGAATTTTTGGCATAAAATTTTTAGAAGTATGTATTATTAAATTAAGAAGCTATATATCAAAATTTTATGGTATTTGAATACTTAATTTGTGAGGTATAAAGAAATTTGCATATAGGTGTATGTAAGTAAGAGTTTGAAGCTACTCTTAGATTTTTGGCAATATCTCAAGATCCGTAATAAATTAAAAATTGAAATTTGTTGTAGTAGTTGTTAAAAATACATCACTAATTTATATAAATTTTGAGTTTTTTTGGATTTTCTGATCGTGAGATATGAACTATTGAAGTTTGAGAAGAATTTATCTTAAGGATATACAAGTTTTTATAATATTTTTATCACATTTTTGATGAAATTTGATATTTAAGGCTTATATATTAATGTTATTGCCTCTATAGGGATAATTTTATATATGGACTTAGTATTTTCTTTATTTAGAGGCTTGATTGAGCATTTAGTGATAGCCAAAAATCCAACGCTTTTTTAAAGCAAATTCTCTCTACTATGACATTATGCTGTTGAAATCTTGCATAATTTCTAGTAAAGGTCATATTCTCTCTTCAAATCCCTCACCTTATTTTACAATAGAAGTTTATTTAGACCAAAAAATCACAAAGTCTTAGCTTAGTTAGATTTAGGAGCCTCAACCTATTTTATAGATGAAGATTTTGTCAAAAAATAAGAGATATTGTTAGTGAAGAAAACTAAACCTATACATGTAGAAATCAAAGATGGTCATTTGATATCTTTTGGAGATGTTTTTCATGAGATTGTTTCTTTCAATGTACCAATTAAAGATCATAATAATATAGTATTATTTAATGTAATAAGATCTTCATCAAATTTGATTATTTTAAAATTATTTTAGTTAAAAAAGTATAATTCTTAGATAGATTGGATTTTTTATAAACTTAATTTTTTTAGTAGTTTAATCCAAATTCTATTAATAAAGTAAAAATATATAAGTTTGATACATCCAAACCCTTACTAGTAGGTATAAGAGCTTTTATGCATGTCATAAAAAGAAGGCCATTTTTTGCTATATATGCCATATTCATTTCTGATGGTGGAAAGAATCGAATAATATTCTTAACTGATATTAAGATTTCTAAGACGTTTTTTTAAAAAAGAATATAGATATTCTTCTAAGGTATTATTCTTATGATTGTTTTGTCAATCTTTAAGTTGGATCTCAACCACCATTTGGATCAATCTATAGCCTATCACAAAATAAGTTGGCTACATTTAAAAAATACATTGATAAAAATTTTACTAAGAATTTTATACACTATTCTAAATCTTTAATCAGAGGTCTTATCTTATTTATGAAGAAAAAAGATGGGTCTTTGTGTATGTCTATGGACTATCAAAGACTCAATAAAATCAACATCAAGAATAAATA